AGAAAGTCGATACAAAATGGCGGAAGCGAACCATAAAATTCACTGGTAAATACTTGGAAAACAGCCGGGGGCCAAACCAAAAAGAATTATCGGTTAAGAAGAAGGTGAAGGAAGCCGAGACCGGTATGTGGAGAATTGGCATAATTAAGAAGTCCGCACTAGAGATTTATCGAACTTTTAAGCAGGAAATTACCAAGGAAAGGATCTATGATAATACTCGCGGTAGTTCTCTACTTTTTGAGGCCAGGACGCGAGTATTGCGAACCAAGGCATATCGAGCCAAATACGAAGGGGTAGACACGGTATGCAGTGCGTGTAGAGAGGAAGAAGAAACTGCGGAACACTTGATAATGTTCTGTCAGGGGCTTCACCCTATAGTTCAGGATGATGGCGCAGAGTTTTTCAAAGCACTGGGGTTTAAGGACAGTGAGGGCAAAATAGACTTTAAGCGGGTAGAATTAACTAGAAGGAGGTTATCTGATTGGTGGCTAAAGTCAAGGCACGAGTGAAAATTAAGCCCTTCACTGCAAAGTACGAATCCTCAACCTCACTCTTTACATTAAGTATTACGGCTTGGTGGCGCTAGCCACCACCCGATCTAAAGGGTACAGCTATATACATCCATCCATCCATCCATACGGAGAACAAACGATCATATAAATATGACCGGAACTCGGCGACGGCCCAAACTAAAGCTAAACACTCTTTCTCGGAGATGGAATAATCCCTCTCAGGGGAAGAAAGCAGGTGACTGGCGTAAGCTAACATGTACTGTCTGCCGTGGTGCCACTGAGCGAGAACTGCGCCACTGGCGTGCGTCGGTGCGAACTTCTGTTGCAGCAGAAGGATTAAAGTGGGCAAGTATGGAGGCATAGTTAAGCAGCCGATGAGATTGGTGAACGCTTAAGCCTGATCAGGGCCTTATGAGAATGTGGTATTCTTTTTCAGCAAATCTGTGAGTGGCCTGGCAACGTCGGTGAAGTTTTTCACAAAACGATGAAAGTAGGAACGTGAGCCGATGAAGCTCCAGACGTCGAATGCAGAACAGGGAACCGGAAAGCTAAGGACGGCGCGAATCCTTTCAGGATCTGGTTGGACGCCATCGGCGTTTACAAGATGGCCCAGAACGGTAATCTGACGGCGCCCGAATTGACATTTTTTTAGTTTAGTTGTAGCCAAGCTGTTCTGAAGACTGCGAGAATTTCAGCGACATGGGTCGGGTAGCTATCGAAAGTATATGAAAAGACTATCACATTGTCTAGGTAACAGAGACAAGTAGACCACTTATAACCACGCAGCAGAGAGTCCATCATTCTTTCGAATGTGGCAGGGGCATTACATAGTCCAAAAGGCATCACCTTAAACTGGTATAAACCATCTGGTGCAATGAATTAAGGCCGTCTTCTTGCGGTTCATCTCATCGTCAAAAATCTGTCAGTAGCCGGACCGAAGATCAATAGACGAGAAGTATGTAGCGCTGTGCAGGCAGTCCAACGCGTCATCGATGCGTGGTAGCGGGTATATGTCTTTTCGCGTGATCTTGTTGAGGTGGCGATAGTCAACGCACAAACGCCAGGTACCATAATTTTTCTTTACAAGGACGACAAGGGAGGCCCAAGGACTACTTGATGGTTCTATGACACTTTGTTGAGCATTTTGTCAACTTACGCTTAGATATCTCTGCGCTCAGTGTGGAAGACACGATAGGGGCGTCGGCGAATGGGACTGGCGTCACCGGTGTTTTTACGGTGCTGAACGGTGAATGTTTGTCCTAGAGGTCTGTGGTCGAAATAAAAAATGTCGGTATATGACGCGAGAAGGTGATGGATGTCGTTAGCTTGCGCAGGATTGAGGTCGGGTGCAATCATCTTTGAGAAACAATCTGGCAGAGAACAGGTGCTGTTATAGCTACAGGAGACTGAAGTAAATCAATCTCGGTGGTGAGAGCCGCTATTTCGAATTCGTCAGCATTAGATACGCTAGCTAAGAACATGCCACGAAGAAGTGCTTGAGGCAAAAGCTGAAATTGAGAAGTGGGAGCGATGTACAGTTGTCAGTGACAGTCACAAGCGTATGGGAAATGGCGATGTTGCGTTCTAAAAGGACGTCGGTGAGAGGAAGGAGGACATATTGACCATCGGGAAACTGTGGCTGTGTGGTCAAAACGACTTAGGTGGCTGCCTGAGGTGTAAGTCGCACATCATGAAGAGAGTACAGGTGCGGCGGGGCAGTGTGGGGTTCAGCGGCTATCTGAGGCAGCTATAGCTGAAGGACGCCGATAGCACAATCGATCAGAGCAGAATGATTTGACCAGAAGTCCAGGCCTAGGATAACGTCAAAAGGGGAGTGGTCAATCATGGCTAAAATGACAGAAGTAGTGTGGTTCCTTATACTTAAGCGGGCAGTGCACATACCAAGAACCATCGGCGTATGCCATCGGCCACACGGAGCATTTGTGCAGCCGCTGGTGTCGGAACTTTCTTTAAACGTGTGCGTAGGCTTGAACTCATGACCGAAATTACTGCGCCGGTGTCTACAAGTGTTTCTGCAGGTACGCCGTCTGCGTCAACGTCTATTACATTTCGTCTGGTGGGAACGGAGAGAGGATTTGCTGTGGAAGTCGTCAATGCAGCACCAACTATGGGGCTGCATTTCTCAGTTTTCTGAGTCGATGCGTCCAGAAGCCACGGGGGACGAGAAGTGCCGTGGCTGCGGCGAACGGGACGATGGGCGACGTATTTGCGGCGAACGGGACTGGTGCCCACGTGGTGAAGACGAGCGGCTGTATTAAGTGTTCCGTGAATGGGTAACGGCATTGGACTCTTCGGCAGGTGAAAAGGTGCCGGCGGTACTGTCGAATCGGGTCATATTTGTCGTTGCACGAGGTGCCGAGGACAATGTGTTGCGGCAGTAACGCGCAATACGTCCAACGTGGTGGCAGTTGAAACATATACGGCGGTCATCTGCAGTTCGTCACTCAGCCGGGTTGCGGTACGTGGAGAAAACCGTCGGTCGGAGGAGGGCATCGCGAAAGGGCGTTTGCTGACTCTGGGCGTGGTGACATGGCACATAGAATGCACTCCGATGTTTTCAAGCTCCTGGCGCACGATGGCTTGAACAAGAAGAACAGTAAGAGAAGTGCTATCAGTACTGCACGAATAGAACGCTGAGGGCACCATTGCTTTCAGTTCGCGACGAACAATGCGTGTCAGGTGTCCCTGCGGCGACGGGCGTTGTGGTGCGGTCTGGTCCTCGCAAGTCGATGTTGCAGCGGTGTTTGGAAGTCGGGCGAATGTTTGCAGGATGCGGCGACGTTTCACTTGCTCAAACTGACGACACTCTTTGATGATCGCGTCCACAGTGGAACAGCCCTTGCAAATCAGGAGATTGAACGCGTCGTCGGCAATTCCTTTCAGGACACGCCCGACCTTGTCCCCTTCTGTAACGTCACTTTCGGCCTTTCGGCAGAGGGCCAGCACGTCTTGAATGTATGCGAGGTACGATTCCGTGGGGGAATGGGCACGGCAGGCCAATTCCTTTTTGGCGGCGATCTTACGACTGGCGGTTTTGCCAAACACCTCTCGCTACTTTCCTTTGCATTTGTCCCAGCTTGTGAGTTCTTCTTCGTTGTTTTCATACCACTCCTTCGCCAAGCCTCTCAAGTAAAACAGCTCATTAGCTAACTGAAGTGTGGGATCCCATCTGTTCGGCACACTCGCTCGTTCGAACATGGTCAACCAATCGTCAACGTCGACGCCATCAGTCCCGCAGAATGTACCGGGATCCTTAAGTGGTGTGAAAAGTGTGGGTGCGACACCGTGTTCATCGGAGATGCTGACGTTGACGAGGAGGGCTCAGCATTGGCCATGGCTGGAAAACCGATGTGACGTCCTCTGCGGAGCTCCGTTGCCTAATGGTTACCCAGCACCTCTCACCAATATGTTACGGGGTCGGTGACTTCTGTACAAAATGCATTTACAGAGGAACAACCACAGGCAAGAGTCACAATGGCTGATTGGCACGCTCGCGCGCCTGTCCGCTGATTCTAATCTTCCTCTTCCTTTCCTTCATATTCGTAACAATATAAACTGAGCGAGTTCGAATACATTTGTGTGTTATGCGTTTAAAGCTTCATCAAAAGCTCTAAACGAAAAATAATGACACAGGACACTTGCCTATGGCGCAGTGGATTACATGAGCGGATATTTGGAATTCAAAGTGTGCATTGTTTATCAAACCTCTCTACGATGCGGTTACACCGACATGAAACCGAGTGAAAGGTCCTGTTTTGATAGTCTCATTAGCGTTCACTTTCTGTCGTAAAATCGCGTTTATTCGAGGCAATTATTTTGAATACATTGAGATGATTCTTGCTCAACCGGCAGGTGCTTTTGTGGCAGTCAAACACTTTCAATGAACATAGAGACAGGTATGTCTTTCAGCGTGCGTAACAGGTAAATGGGGCTCCGTATGTCCGGAAGATAGTTTCCCTTTAGCCTGATCCTGTATATTTTTTATATTTAAAGTTTGTCACATTTCTTTTACTTTTGCATGAAATTGTTTTTCAATAAACCGTGCAGTTGCGAGTTGAGCACGTCGCCTGTGTCCTTATTTATCTTCTTTTGCTGTTGGTTGTTTTGGTTTTTGTTTTTGAAAGTGGTAGTAAATAATAACGAATTATTGAAAGCCTAGTGATAAAAAGACACATTGCAGTATCTTTGTGGAGAAAGCTTGGGAAACTCGTTAATAATTGGGAGATGTTTATGGGCTGTAAAGTAATTTATTGTCCGTTTGCTCTTATCTGTTGTGTAATTGCCAGTTACTAGCACGCAATATTATGCGCCTTCGAAGTCCGCACTGCAACTGTAACTTAATCTGCGGTTGACGCTTTGTAATGTCCCAATAATACGCCCCCATGAAGCTTATTTGTTTCCTGCTCATCACCTTTCTGAATGATATTGACACCAGCTTAAGAAATCGAAGTTAAATAAAAGGCTCACCTTTAGGTTGCCCGGTCGAACCACTAGTGTACATAATAATTGCTGAATCTTGTGGCTTTGGCATAACTTGTGGCATCTCTGAAATAGTTGCGCAAGAACGTTATACTTTGTCCAATAAAGAAATCGAGAACTCCGCATCAATAGCCGCATTGCAGTAGGAAGAAGATGTGGTACAGCTTCTTGAAGAATAGACCATACAAGTTGTCACTGTTGATCTTTACGTAATCTGGTAGGCAGAAACTTTACATCTGTCATGTACGCACAGATGCTACGCCGTTTCACAGGCGGCGGTTTGCGAGACCGCCGAGTACGCATAATACAAGTTAGCCTAAATCGTCTGTACCTCAACCAGATGCTAGAAAAAAAACACGATAAGCAAGAGAAAAAGTAAAAGATGACCGGTAGCAGCCCTCTTGCTAGTTCACTAATTTCATATTTTTAAAATGCCACCTTTCTACGATGTTCAAAATGTTGTAGTGGGGACATGTTGAGGCGTCAGTGCTCAGTATAGCGAGTAGCCTCCGCAAGAACGCCCTTAAGAGAAGACAGCTGTTATCAGATGATAGCATACTCCCAGTGCCGGGGCGACATGGTGAAATTAGTACAGCTACTACAACTACATATTTAATCACGTTAGGTGTTTGATTTCCTTGAAAATTTTAATCCATTAATTTTTTGTACATGTGGTGAACTCACTTATGCTGCTTTCTTCTACTAGCTGGTATTCTAGGTGCTTAATCGATTTTCTGAGGTACTATACTTCATCATATTTCACGCGAGAAAACCCTCTTGTTTATTCGGGCTTGGTGGTTTGCGTTATGCACGTATATTACCACAGCTGTTTTGAAAGTGTCGTGCCTCCTACGCGAAAGTTTTATACAGCAAACCAATGTACAGAAGCCAAAGAAATATGGTTGTGTTGTCGTGATGGCCGTGAAACATCTCCAACTAACTTTAGCTGTATTCGTAGATGTTAAACATTTCAGGCTATTACTATCTGTAGTAGCTATAGAACGAACCCGAAGTCGACGAGACGGGTCCAGCCTATGCAGTCGCGTGTGCTGTAAGCACTGTGTTCACACCGGATTTTACTTCTTCATAAGCAATTTTTCAGAATTTCATTTAAGCATCAGTCCTTGAGAATGGAATAGATTCTTCTTCCCCATTTTCGTGTGCTCATCGAGCAGCTGCATCGGCATGTTCAATGCCCAATATGCCACAGTGACTTAGAAGCAAGTGTGGCTTGGTGTCGCGTTCACCAAAGTTTTCGCCTTCCGAAGTGACATGGAAAACAGTGATGCTTGCGATCAGTGCGGCAACGATGAAACGATAGAGCACGTTCTCTGTCACTGTTCTCGTTACAGCGTGCAAAGAAGGCAGTTAGATGCTGCGTTAGCTAGACTTGACGACAGACCCTTGTCAGAACACTCATTGCTGGAAAGGCTACAGAATCAGTCTTCGCACAAAAAATTAGTGAAGACCTTATTGAACTTTTCGCGTGGTAGTGGCCTGTTGACTAGGCTATAGCACCCTAGCCCACTTGTTTTTTTTTTCTTTTCTTTTTCGCGCGTCTATTTCGCTCTTCACTTTCTTTCCAATCGTTATTCGCCATTCTCCCTTCCCTTAGTGCAGGGTAGCAAGCCGGATACTCCAATTTCTGGTTAACCTCCGTGCCTTTTCCTCATTTTATTCTTTCTAGAAAACGAAGCGGCTAACTTCATTCAAGCTAATGAATGAGGTGGCTGAAAGCAAACGTATGACGTTAAATTTGACTTCTCTGCTTAGGACAAGTAGAGAGGCGGACCCTCTGTAGGATTGGCGTTCATGAGCGACTCCAAGGGCAGCACAGTGGCCGAGTTCATGGGTGGTGGCGGCTCGGTAGTGCCCCTCGCTGGCATGCACACGACGTGGGTCACAGCCGGCAACCTTGGCATGAGATTCTGCAGAAGCAAAAAAATAGTGATCTCGTTTGACACTTCGCTGTTGAAGGGATACGGAACGATAATTTAGATATTGGCCTTTTCTAGCAGAACAAAAGTTGAACTGCTAAAGATGACAAATACAGCAAAATGATTTGAAAAAAAAAAAGACGAAACACATCTCTTTCCAGCCATTTTCCGTCATACCTAGTGCCCTGGAAGACGCCGGTAGCAGCTGCAATTACGCCATGACACACCACGCGCGCGTTGCTGCCGCGGTGCTTGTTCACTGCTATAGGCACTACACGCTTGCAATGGTGGTCGGTCTAAAACATCGAGGAAACTTAATTTTTTGTATGACAAATGCTTTCCCCCAAACGGTCTATTGTGTTGAAGCATTCGTCATGGTGGAAAGAACTGCCTAGCTTCTGCAATAGGCTAAAGGCTGTCATAACCGATATCGTTGGTTGCGATGCACCGTCGCATACGTCTATAGAATTGACAAGCGGCGTAGACTTTGAATACGTGTTGCTCAGTTATCATGATAAACTTGGTCATATTTATGAATTGGCTTCATTCACTAGTTCGGAGTACTTCGCCATTTATTAACTATGTCTAAAACAAACAAACAAAAAACAGCAAATGCGTGTTGTTGTGGCGCCATCTGCCTAAATGTGGACAAACGAGGCTTGCTTTCCAATATATCACGCACTCCATCGTGGCAAAGTCAACCGATTTCGATTGATTCAGCGTGTAAATGGCTTGAGGCAGCATGGATATGAGAGTACCTGCCCTATGCAAAGAGCTATGAAACAGCTGTGAAATTCCGCACATGTGGTGCCTCGCCGTGCTTAAAAGCGAACTGCGCAGCGGTCGAACGTAGACCACACAAACGCAAAGCGATGAACTACGATGCCTGGATTCATCCGTAATGATTTTCTTTTTGCCTCAACGAAGCTCATATAACAATGTATTTTACATCCATTGTAATATTAGTTAATCTACTGCTCCCGATGAACGTTGAACCAAATTGCTGGCCCGGATTGTCTGACTCCTTCTCCCCCACGTCGCTTGGAACAGGAGTCTCGTAAGCGTCATTTCTTCTCTATGGTCTGACTATGGTTCTACATCATCAGAGGTGACTTTATCTCTGATAGAGGGACCACAACATGAATGCATACAATGTATGAATGCATGAATGTTTGCAACTATTCGATGACATGTGCATTTCAAAAGATGGCGACTGACTGCATTAGTCATGACCTCATGAGTTCCAACTCGCGTTAGCCGAGTGGCTTGGCACAGGATCACAAGAACGTACTACGACCACCCACTTTAAAGTTCAATAAGGGACGACTTTTTTTCTGTGTGATCGCACACTGAGCCTTTATTTTCAGCATTTTCGCAATATTGGTAAATTTTGATTCAGTATAAGTAAGCATTTGTTGTCTGGATTGCTATTATAAACTTATCTTGCAATTAAAAGCTATCCGACACTTGTTACCGCACTAAAGGCGAGCCATAACACTCCGCGCTCGCTGGACACAAAACACATTGTCACAGCTGTTGAACTCATCTTTGGAAGTTTCATTCAATAACCATGCGTTTGACACTTTGATCGGACGCCCCTTAATATAAATCTTCGTCAAAGCTGTTGTTGATTTCGTCGTTCATCTTTGTGACTGTGACTCACGTCGATGATTTCTATTATTTTACAGCAGTCCAGTTTCGTGAAGCGCTGACTTCTGACTTTTTTCCTCCTTCTGCAACACTGAAGCGTCAAGTGTGAAGTAACTACGAAACGGCGAACAAGACGTTTAATTTCAGCTCCTACAATATCAAACGAGGCGAATGACACTGTTATTAAGTGGCATGACTAGAATCGAATAAAGACCTTTGCTGCCATTGTAATGAATTATTACGCCACAGTTGCAAGCCGTTATGCATTAAACAAACGAAAAAAAGAAAGCTTACTGTAGAGAACGTGCAGTATAGTTTTTCTCTTACATTCCTAATGAGATGGCGTAACTAGGGGAAGAGTGCGCGGGTTTTAGTTAACGACTGATAGGAGCAATAAAGCCGCAAAATCTTACCGACCAAGTGTCTACAGAAGCTATATAGGCTCCCAACTCAGTTAGCTCTGCACTTTACATCTTTTTTCAGGAAGTCACTATACATTTGTGAAAAATATAAATAAATAGTTCAGAGCTATTAGGAACTGATGATTATGATGATGATGATGATGGTGGTGGTGGTCCATCATACTGAAAAGAATGCAACTAGGGGCAAGGAAATGGAAGAAATGCAGACGAACGCTGAACTTACTACTGAAGTTTATTTCGAAATGAAGCTGAATATAAAGAAAACCGACTGCTCCGTTCCGGAAATAAACTTAGCTTGTAAGTTCAGCACACGTCTGTGTTTCTTCCTTTCCTTTGCCCCTTGTTGCGGTCTTGTCAGTATAATGGTTTTTTGTTTAGTTTTTTTTACTGGTGAAGAACACGAACCAAACCATGTGCTGTCATGATATAAAATTGGAAATTATCCACTTGTTACTAATTGTTAGCTGGTCAAATCAGTATACTTATTTTAAACCCAAAGTTTTGTAAGCGGCATGTGAATTGGTAGCCAATACCGAAACACACCTGTAAGCACTCTGGACTAACGTTCTGGACTACCCCGTTTGATCTGCGACGTAACGGGTCCACTATTTTCCACCCCCACCTCCAGCAGCTGATGGATGCGGCGCGCGCTTTCTTCTACGAGGCGACGATGACGCGGGCACAGTTCAGCTTTGTTGGCTGCATGCCATGTCAGTCGTCATTGTCCTCGGGTCTTAGAGTAAGCATACTCAATACTATTACTAAAAGGAGACCGACTCGGAAGAGTAGACACAGGTATATTTACAGCCGATTAAGCGAGCAGCACTAGCCGTACAGATTAGCTCGTGCCAGTCGATCTTTATTGTGCTCTTCATCTTCTTGCCACTGGTACGTAGCATGACCCCTGGCGATGGAGGCGCCATCCCGGTGCTTTAAAGGTTGTTATCTGACGCACTCTTGTAGGGCTTGATCCGCCAGACGTGGACAAAATCACTGGACAGCGCATCAGGTGATGATGGATCTATAGATGAGGT